TAATAATTCAAATCCTCATTAAAAATACTTAAACAGATGTGATTTGCAATAAAGACATTCAAATTCTAACACCTACATTAAATATTTACATTAATAATGCACTGTAAAGTGCTTGTTACTCAATCAAATAAAAAATAAACTGAGTAAATAGCTTTTGACAAATGTTAATTTTCCATTCCAACCTTTGTACCCAAATTTACAAAAGCATTTAAGTCATGTCGATTTTCTTTATAAATTCATCACGTGTTAATTGTTTTATGCATGCATATTCAATATATATTTTTTTTTTCAATTTACTACAAGTAGTAACTTCGCCTGCTCACCTAATAATCTTTACAAATGATACAATTGTATAAAATTAACAAAACACGTGTTGATGATCACAGCGAAAATGAAGCATAAATAATTTATTCGTACAACAACAGTGTTACAATATTTAATTACAAAATAATAAACTTTTTGTGTGTTTATTATTATTACTCTTTGAGGCATTTCGCATGTACGAAAAAGTATGCATTTTGAGAATTAAAAATAAAGAAAAATACATTTTCAGCATAATAATCGGGTCAAAAGACTTCCCAAGGCCACGATGCTGAACGAAACGACATTTAATTATACACTAAAGAAGTCTTTTATTTATTTTTTTTTTCTTTATTTTTTTCGGTGACTTTGCAGCGTGTTAACGTCAGCAGATTGATTATTTTAATTTTTTTAAGTTGCTTAAAATTAATTTCAAAGGAAGTACGACATGATTCTTAAATTTACATTTACAAATGTATTTGATTTCCGCTTAATGGATTTTGTGATTTTTTTTATTGCATTTTTTTCTTCTTTTCTTTATATTCAAAATGAGCTTTTGGCTGAGAAATGTCGGTGGTGTGGGATGATGATGTTGATAATTTTAGGCGCATTACGGAATTTTTATGACTAAAAGTAATTGATTTAAAGGTTTTCTTTGCTTGGTGTACTGAAAATAATCAAAATATTCCTTATTTATTCATTTTGAATTGATAATATGATTTAACGGTCATTTTGTATTCAAATTTCATTGATTAATTGCATAGTCGATTTACTCTCAATAGTTGAATACCTCTTTAAATGAAATTATTCAGTATTTCTCTGAATTTCAAACAATAAATATCGTTTCTACAACTTATAGGCAAATCAATTAGGGGTCGTTCACTTATGACGTCCAAGGGGGGGGGGGGGGGGGGGTCAGCAAGAAAAGAACAATAGAAATTCCTGGAAATCAATTGTTCTTTTTTGAAAAATGACCGTTTATTTTGGACGTCATAAGTGAACGACCCCTTAGTTAAATCAATTGGGTTTAACAAAAGGTTATCAAGAACAACATCAAAGAAGGTTTGTCAAACAAATTCCAATCGAATTTCATTATAAAAATTGCAAAATCTCACACCGACACAACAAACAATTAATCCATTAAAAATGCGTCGCTAGGTGCTATAAAAGCTGACATTTCATACTTTTTTACTTCTTCAATGATCAGCGTCATCATCACGTTTTCAAGGAGTTTGTGTATTGCATAACATTTGCATTCATAATATTAATATTTATTATCATTTATATCGATTATGCATTAAAGTTTTACTATTCTTTATTAATTGAAATGCCATGATTCAATACACACAGTACAACTGTTTGTGGTGTGTTTGCTTATTTCTATTTGTGGACCACATTTTTAAAGTTATTTAAGTTATTGCAAATCGCATCGATTAGACTTTGCTCGTTGCATCTTTGAATACAAATGATATTAAAATCATTTCCACGTGCATGTATGTATGAAATGAAGTCTGATGAAAATTTGATTTTTATGCTAATCAACTTCATCGACGGGAAAGCTCAATGACCTCGGATGTTTGAATGAATAAAAAAAAACTTTCAAAATAAATAGCGACAAAGAAATGTAAGAATATTTGATGACGATCTTCTGCTTCATCCTTAAATAAATAAGATCGTTTTAATTAACGAATAAATTAATGCCAGATTATACTCAACTTTTTTTGTATCAAATTCAACGTTGCGGGTTCAAGTTCTCTGTAAAACCTCGATATCTCATACAATAACAATGCCAAATTGGCTTCATCATATACCACCTCAATGATATTTTATTTGCTTCTGGGCAAATGTCACGGAACTTCTCGCCAAGAGCTAACCCGTTTAACTACCATGACGTAAAGTTATCGTGCCTTAGAGATGGTGCCATGATGTCTCAGTGGATTTTGTGAAAGCAATGCAATGAACTTTTTACTGTAAAATGATCAGGTTTGAAGTTTGAGCTGAGAAGGATGAGTGGTGGAGCTATGTTAATTGAGATTTGAGACATATCAACTGAGCAGTGCTGTAGTTGTTGATCAGTAATGCAACCTAGTGTTTCTCGGACCATAGATATTATAGGAGTGAAGCTTGTAGGACGTCTTCTGAAGATACTAAGGTTGAGGGAAGTCACAATTAAGAAATAATATTGAGCAGCTATGAACACTTGATCAGTAAGGATATAATCAAGATTCACAACACGTCCACAAAGAATTTTGATTTTGCAGACTTCCTTACCCGCTCTAACACACTGTCTCACATGCATGAGAAATATTTTTGTCCGCCGTGCAACGAACTCTAAAAATCAACAGCCGTTCTTAACAAGCAGGTTCAAGAAACTTTGCACACGATTGAAATGCATTCATTTGAAAATTATAACAAGGAATTCGGGATCATAAAACTTTAAGACTTTACAAAAAATACAAAATTTTGTCAGGACTAAGCAATAAAAAAAAAGTAATTAACAAGTCAGCTGTCCTAAACACCTACCCACAAAAAAAAAAAGCCTTAAAAATAAACTAAAAGAGCCATAAAGTTAATGACATTTAAATTAATAAGCAAAGCTGATTACTGCAAAAACTAGGCTGTTTGAAACTAATTGAATTATAGAATTTCTGCGATACTAATTTCGGGAACGACATAAATTAAAAGCAAGAAAAGAACGAAAAATATTTCGAGTGTATCGAAACAGAAGTAACAACAGCACCATAAATCGAAGTGCAACTGTACAATTGAACGAAAAAAAAAATATTATTTATACTGTTTGATAAGAATTGAGGGGGATTAAATTAGGTATTTTTTAATTGGAGCTTTGTTGGACAGTAAGGTGATATAAGGATTAAAGCCAGATATTTAAGAGAATCAAGATGAAAGGGGGTTTGATGTTGGTTGTTTTTCTTTACAAATTTCAGTCTTCAAAGTTAATATAAGATCCAGTTTTTTGAACATCTACCTATATTCTGAATATTTTGAGACGTCCTCTAGAAATTGACCCCCGAACCCTCTCTCAAGATTGAAGTTTGTATGAAAAAACAACCAAGATCAAATCCCCCTCCCATCTCGGTCCTCCCAAAATTTCAAGCTTCAATCCTGATGCCAAATCACAAAAATCAAAGTCAATACGCATATTTCAGGCGATGAATAAAATAAAATAGACGACTCCAACAAGAGATCACGTTTTTATTATTTTTTTTTTCTTCTTTATTTCTGGGCAGCGACATTTTGTGCAGGCTTGTAGCAAGCTCTCTTTCTTGCTTTCGCACTTACAATCGAATAAAAATAAAATAGCTGAAATTTATATACATCAATGTGGAATGCAAATAGCTAAATGTCAATGAACTTTTAAAGTCAATTAATCTTTATTTACATTGTAGCTTAGTTGTACACATAATTTTTTTTTTTTGTTAGAGGTATAGGTAATATCAATGCGGTAGTAAATTATATTATTACCGCAATGCTTGCAATAAGTTTCTAATTGCGATATATGAAAATGGGAAGAAAAATATGTGCGATAGACATAAGTGTGTAATATGATGCGACTCATGTCTCATTACGTGTCAGCATATTTCCATTGAATTGGACCCACCCAAAAGTTCTGCACTTTTTTTTTGACTGCTGAGTTTGAAAAAAATTATTTACATAACTGCAAAAAATGACCGTAGTCGTTGGTGGTGGGAAATAAAGTACAAAGAACATTATTACACAACAAACCGTAAAATTATTTATTCATAGATAAAAAGTTTAAAGCTCTTTCGGAAAGAATGGACGTGGAGGAGAGATAATTGTGTGTGGGGAGGGGTAGGAGGGGACATAAGAAGAGAAGAAAAAAAAATCTACACTCATACGGAAAAGAATTTATACATATATAAATGGCTATACATATGAGGCAGATAAAAGTCATCGACCTTTTTGAAAGTGAAAGTCAAAACATACAAAGGTAACTGTCGTATGCTTAATATATTTTAATATACGATGATGCTAGACAAGAAAAAATATACAACAAATACATTTACACTGGTCATTGCTAACAGTAAAAATGGCTTACTGTATCGGAGAATGTGCAAACGAGGCAGAAGTGAGTGAATTTTTTTTTTATTTTTCTTTTCTTGCTATTCCTTTTTCAAGGATCTTTTGCCGTTCTTTTCAATTTTTATTTCATTTTCTCGCTCTTCTTATTATTTTTCGGCAAATTATCAACAATTTATGCTCAGCGGCACAACACAACCAGCGGATGCAATCAATTTAATATTATAGCCTTTACATCTCATAGTAATGGCAATAAAACAATGTAGTTGAAAAAGTTATCGTAGATCGGATGATATAAAGTGCAGTTTCGGGGCATGCGAGTCAACATAAATTGTTCATTTTCCAAGTATTTTTAATGAAATTTTCTTTTCGTTTCGTACTTGATGAGTTCAATGACTTCTTTTTGTTTTTGAAATTATGCAGCTTTCGGTGGGGATCGCTTCAAGGATCTTGTGAAATTGGCTAGATTTGGGTTCAACAGTTTAACGGGTTTTTTATAATTTGAATATTTTGTTGAATTTTGGAAATTTTTGAAATGATTGCAGTGAGCTTTGAAGAATCAATTTTCAGAAATAATTCATTAAAATCAAGTTAACATTAGCAAAAGTTCATCAAACATTTAAGACAGTACGTGACTAGACATGATTATCAAACATAAAAGGAAGTTGACTAACAGAAAGATCGCAAAAGACAGAAAAGAAATTCCAACAAACAAAATAAATTTCAAAACATCCTTTCCACAAGATATCAATGAACCTTGCTCACAATTCCGTCTAAGAAGAAATTCAAGATTATTTCACAGTTCAACTCACTCTCGATGTTATCAAACAAGCAAGTCGAATCATCATCAGGTCATTAAACTTTCTCATACGAATCTCATTCGTGCAACACACACGGATTAGTTTAGACAAACTGCTAGTTTTGGTTAAAAGCACCGCTCCCTTTTGGAAAACACACGCAAAAATCCTCTTTATATCTTACATAAAAAACTATGAGACATTTTAAAAAAATAATAATAATAATTTATTGTCTTTACAGCTGAAATTGACGATGAAAAATGCTCATATGACGTAAATTGATGACGCTAATAAATTTTTTAATTGTCAATAACATGCGTATCGATGTTAAAGTGCTAATTGAATTGAAAATTGCGCAAAAAATCATAAATACAACAATTTAAAAATCAATTTACCATTTTCAAAAAAATAAACAAAACGACATCGATGATTATGCAAATAGGAATGAAGTACTCAACATTATTGGGTAAGTTCAATTGCATATGCTCACAAAAAAAATAATAATTTAAATGAGGAAGAAAAATGAAATTCTCAGCTACTAATGTAAAATTATGATAATTTATTTGCGAATCGATTTTGAGAGGAGATCCATTCATAATACGCACTATCCGTGAACATACTTACCATACTTATTTACATTATTTTTTTTCCGAACTTTTCCAATATTTATCAATGAATGAATGAATGACTGAATGGAACGGACTTGATAAATTGCATGTCATGTTTATATCAAGCTATAAATAGAGAGGCACTTTAATTGTTGTTTTCGCAAAAGCAATTATCTTTATTCTCAGAAAAGTATCCGAAATTGTGAGTTGCATTTTAAATAAGGAGCTCGTCCGAAGGAAGTAAACAAGTTTCTCATTACTTTTTGGATTCTAGTTAATATTTAATGTTAAATTTACATTAAATGCCAAAACTATAAAGAATTTATTGAAAACTTAAGGCTGAGCTACTATAAATAATTAAAAATTAAAATAATTAAGTATTAAAATTGTTGTTGATGATGTAATAAATAATTCAATTTAGTCAGGTGTTGTGAAATTATAAAGGGCTACTAAATATACTTGTTGGAGCTAAATGAGTCATAATGGACCTTCAGATTGTTTACATCCTTTTTACTTCGAATGAAAGCTTGAGAATGACTTGATATATTTTTGTAACTGTGATTTCAAGTTAAAATATCAAGAGCTAGATATCAATTACACGTCATTATTCATTGATACTTACATCTTCATTAATGTAAGTAAAAATTTCAAGTACAAAGAATCAAATTTTATTTTATTCATGAAAAATTTAAATTTTTAATTTTAAGTAAACCAAAAATTTTTTTTTGCCATGCCAACGATTAAAAGTAGGTAACTGAAAAAGTCATAAAAAGTTTATGTAAAGTTACTCAAAGAATTTCAGAGACTAAAACGGTTTTTCTGTCATTTACATTTTATGGCTCCTTTATGTTCCAGAAATTGAGGAAAGAGCTGTAAACATTAGTGAAAGAATCATAGCTGTAAGATAGTTGAAGGATAATTGGATTAGGTTGGATTATAAACTTTAACCCTAGCAGAAACTTACTAGTAATTTCCTAGTAATCGGATCGAGCTTACAAAGGTGATTTCTGCGCGCTCTTGTGAAGCATATGTCAAATGCCAAATCCAGAACACAATTTTTTATGACGTAAAAAATTCGTTTTTTTTTTGATGATTTTTCGTACGATTCGAACTTAAGCAGATTTGATCAATTATTTCACATGGTAATTTGCTATTAAATAGCAAGTGTAATTTACTAACAGTAAGTTGTTTTAATAATAGCTAGTAAATTGCAAGTAGTAGAATAGAAAGTATGTGTCAAATGCCAAATTTAGAACAAAATTTTTTATGACGCAAAAAATTCTTTTTATGACGCAAAAAATTCTTTTTTTGATGATTTTTCGTACGATTCGAACTTAAGCAGATTTGATCAAACATTTCACGTGATAATTTGCTATTAAATAGCAGAATAGTAGAATAGAAAGTATATGTCAAATGCCAAATTTAGAACAAAATTTTTTATGACGCAAAAAATTCTTTTTATGACGCAAAAAATTCTTTTTTTTTGATGATTTTTCGTACGATTCGAACTTAAGCAGATTTGATCAAACATTTCACGTGATAATTTGCTATTAAATAGCAGAATAGTAGAATAGAAAGTATATGTCAAATGCCAAATTTAGAACAAAATTTTTTATGACGCAAAAATTCTTTTTTTTGATGATTTTTCGTACGATTCGAACTTAAGCAGATTTCATCAAACATTTCACGTGATAATTTGCTATTAAATAGCAGAATAGTAGAATAGAAAGTATATGTCAAATGCCAAATTTAGAACAAAATTTTTTATGACTCAAAAAATTCTTTTTATGACGCAAAAAATTCTTTTTTTTGATGATTTTTCGTACGATTCGAACTTAAGCAGATTTGATCAATTATTACACATGGTAATTTGCTATTAAATAGCAGAATAGTAGAATAGAAAGTATATGTCAAATGCCAAATCCAGAACAAAATTTTTTATGACGCAAAAAATTCTTTTTTTTTTGATGATTTTTCGTACGATTCGAACTTAAGCAGATTTGATCAAACATTTCACGTGATAATTTGCTATTAAATAGCAGAATAGTAGAATAGAGAGTATATGTCAAATGCCAAATTTAGAACAAAATTTTTTATGACGCAAAAATTCTTTTTTTTGATGATTTTTCGTACGATTCGAACTTAAGCAGATTTGATCAAACATTTCACATGGTAATTTGCTATTAAATAGCAGAATAGTAGAATAGAAAGTATATGTCAAATGCCAAATCCAGAACAAAATTTTTTATGACGCAAAAAATTCTTTTTTTTGATGATTTTTCGTACGATTCGAACTTAAGCAGATTTCATCAAACATTTCACGTGATAATTTGCTATTAAATAGCAGAATAGTAGAATTGAGAGTATATGTCAAATGCCAAATTTAGAACAAAATTTTTTATGACGCAAAAATTCTTTTTTTTGATGATTTTTCGTACGATTCGAACTTAAGCAGATTTGATCAAACATTTCACATGGTAATTTGCTATTATATAGCAAGTGTAATTTACTAACAGTAAGTTGTTTTAATAATAGCTAGTAAATTGCAAGTAGTAGAATAGAAAGTATATGTCAAATGCCAAATTTAGAACAAAATTTTTTATGACGCAAAAAATTTTTTTTATGACGCAAAAAATTCGTTTCCTGATGATTTTTACGTACGATTCGAACTTAAGCAGATTTCATCAATTATTTCACATGGTAATTTGCTATTAAATAGCAAGTGTAATTTACTAACAGTAAGTTGTTTTAATAATAGCTAGTAAATTGCAAGTAGTAGAAAAGAAAGTATATGTCAAATGCCAAATTTAGAACAAAATTTTTTATGACGCAAAAAATTCTTTTTATGACGCAAAAAATTCTTTTTTTTTGATGATTTTTCGTACGATTCGAACTTAAGCAGATTTGATCAAACATTTCACGTGATAATTTGCTATTAAATAGCAGAATAGTAGAATAGAAAGTATGTGTCAAATGCCAAATTTAGAACAAAATTTTTTATGACGCAAAAATTCTTTTTTTTGATGATTTTTCGTACGATTCGAACTTAAGCAGATTTGATCAAACATTTCACGTGATAATTTGCTATTAAATAGCAGAATAGTAGAATAAAAAGTATATGTCAAATGCCAAATTTAGAACAAAATTTTTTATGACGCAAAAAATTCTTTTTATGACGCAAAAAATTCTTTTTTTTGATGATTTTTCGTACGATTCGAACTTAAGCAGATTTGATCAAACATTTCACGTGATAATTTGCTATTAAATAGCAGAATAGTAGAATAAAAAGTATTTGTCAAATGCCAAATTTAAAACAAAATTTTTTATGACGCAAAAAATTCTTTTTATGACGCAAAAAATTCTTTTTTTTGATGATTTTTCGTACGATTCGAACTTAAGCAGATTTGATCAATTATTACACATGGTAATTTGCTATTAAATAGCAGAATAGTAGAATAGAAAGTATATGTCAAATGCCAAATTTAGAACAAAATTTTTTATGACGCAAAAATTCTTTTTTTTTGATGATTTTTCGTACGATTCGAACTTAAGCAGATTTGATCAAACATTTCACGTGATAATTTGCTATTAAATAGCAGAATAGTAGAATAGAAAGTATATGTCAAATGCCAAATTTTGAACACAGTTTTTTATGACGCAAAAAATTCTTTTTTTGATGATTTTTCGTACGATTCGAACTTAAGCAGATTTGATCAAACATTTCACATGGTAATTTGCTATTAAATAGCAGAATAGTAGAATAGAAAGTATATGTCAAATGCCAAATTTAGAACAAAATTTTTTATGACGCAAAAAATTCTTTTTTGATGATTTTTCGTACGATTCGAACTTAAGCAGATTTGATCAAACATTTCACATGGTAATTTGCTATTAAATAGCAGAATAGTAGAATAGAAAGTATATGTCAAATGCCAAATTTAGAACAAAATTTTTTATGACGCAAAAAATTCTTTTTTGATGATTTTTCGTACGATTCGGACTTAAGCAGATTTGATCAAACATTTCACATGGTAATTTGCTGTTAAATAGCAGAATAGTAGAATAGAAAGTATATGTCAAATGCCAAATTTAGAACAAAATTTTTTATGACGCAAAAAATTCTTTTTTTTTTGATGATTTATCGTACGATTCGAACTTAAGCAGATTTGATCAAACATTTCACATGGTAATTTGTTATTAAATAGCAATTGTAATTTACTAATAGTAAATTGTTTTATTAATAACTAGTAAATTGCAAGTAGTAGAATAAAAAGACTAGCAATTTGCTAGTTAGTCTCGCTAGGATAATTAAATGGATTGAAATCAGATTGGCTTGAATTTATCATTATGGTCTTTTAAAGGATTAGGATCCACGAAACTAGTCAAAACTAGGTTTCATCATATTATTGTAGAAAACAACGATTTAGTCTGATTTTATGGAATTTGATGATATATTTTTGGATTGATCAATGCAGTTTAATCTGAAAAACATCAAAAGGTTCAAATCCTACTTACAAAACAACAAGAACTAACCTTATCCACATTCAGATCATTTGCAAAATTAACATTAATTTTTTTTACTTATCTTAAACAATCGCATTAATGCTGAAGTCACCCTACCCCTAACATCAATCAACCTTATTAAATCCCATCAACTGTTATCAAAAAA